ATTAAATCAATAGTATGCATATTTCATGAAGAGGTTATATTTGTGAAGGTGAGTAATCCATCCCAACTCCATTGCTTTTCTGGAGATCTGACTCAACAGAGGCTGTATGAACACAAACAACTATTTATCTAAATCTTATGGCGTATAGTAGGGATGCGGGTGGCACTGTGGTCTAAACCACTGAGCCTAGAGTTTGCCGATCAGAAGGTCGGCAGTTCGAATCCCCGTGACGGTGTGAGCTCCCATTGCTCAGTCCCTGCTAGCAGTTCGAAAGCACGTCAAAGTACAAGTAAATAAATAGGTACCACTCCAGTGGGAAGGTAAATGGCATTTTCGTGTGCTGCTCTGGTTCGCCAGAAGCAGCTTAGTCATGCTGGCCACATGACCCGGAAGCTGTACGCCGGCTCCCTCAGTCAGTAATAATAATAATAATTTATTATTTATACCCCGCCCATTTGGCTGGGTTTCCCCAGCCACTCTGGGCAGCTTCCAAAAGAATACAATAGTCTATTAAAATACAATAGTCTATTAAACATTTAAAGTTTCCCTAAACAGGGTTGCCTTCAGATGTCTTCTAAAAGTCTGGTAGTTGTTGTTCTCTTTGACATCTGGTGGGAGGGTGTTCCACAGGGCAGGTGCCACTACCGAGACGGCCCTCTGCCTGGTTCCCTGTAACTTGGCTTCTCGCAGCGAGGGAACCACCAGAAGGCCCTTGGCACTGGACCTCAGTGTCTGGGCAGAACGATGGGGGTGGAGACATTCCTTCAGGTATACTGGACTGAGGCAGAAACGTGAGATGAGTGCCACAACCCCAGAGTCGTCCGCAACTGGACTTAATTGTCAGGGGTCCCTTTACCTTTATTTAATGATGTATAGTAGCTGGGTAAACTGGCTGTCTGAGCCCAAATAAGTGGCTATTTTAATGCTTGATTCATAGTAAGGTTTTCCTTGCTATGTGGCAGGGTGATACAAATGAGAGCTCACAAAAAAGATAGTTGTCCATTGCAGCAAGGGCTAGAACCTAAAGCACACACCTCTGTGCACTGCCTGCTCTTTATCACACAGGGCTACAGTCAGTGGTTTTCTCACGGGTACTCAGTGGTACTCAGTACCAGACCATTTCCCCAAAAGCATTGGTTAAAAATGTAGCACTTACTGTAACATCATGGTGAGTACTGGCACCTGCTTTTTTCTAGAGGAAATGCACTGGCTACAGATTAAAAGATTTCCTTAGGTTGTAAAGGATTCTCAGGTACTGGACTATCTCCAGACACTCAACTCTTGGCAATTGACTTTCCTTAACAGAAACAGTTGTAGAGGCTTCCTGCTTGTTCAATTACTTTTCCTGGGCAACTGTCTTTCCTGATTGTGCTTATTCCAATTCTTGACTTTGTTTTTCTGTTCTGGAGTGACCTTCCAGCTTGACTGCAGGCTCTGACTTCTGGTAGGACTTTGAACTGTGTGTGACTCAGCCATGGCAGATAGTTTTGATCATCAACATTTATTCCTAACAAGGGCAAGTATATGTGGCTTGTATACTGAAGTGTTACATCAATCTAATTTGGGTTTGCTGGTTTGACTAATGTTGCAAAGTTCTATTTATAGACAACCAAAAAGAAACAACTCACAAAGATGATTTATTTGCCTACTCTTTATAAATATTTTGTCAGGCCAACGTTGAGTGCAACTGCTACATTCATTCTTCAATGACTCTTCAGCCACACAGACATCTTTGAGAAAACGGATACATTCATTCTTAACTTGTTGATGCTTGCTTGCTTGCTTGTCGGGAGACAATGGAAGTGTTATGTACTGAAGTTCTCACCCTGGGCCAGCAGGGGGATACTGTAGATAGTTATGCAAATGAAGGATCGAAAGTGACGTTCAGTGATTGGATAGTTTTATAAAGTTGTTACAGTAACAAGGTACTGGAGCTCTATATAAGCAGGCTGACTAAGCTCCTCAGTTCAGTTCAGTTTTGGCCTCAGAATAAAGAAGAGCTGTTTGAAGAATCGCTGTGTCGTCTGATATGTTTGCCCACAACTTAACAGAAAGAGTGTGCCTTTGGGGGTGAAATCAAACTATTGGAAGGTTACAGTGCATGCTGTGACTGTAGAGACCAATATGGAAGAGGCATGTTTTGGTGCAGCTGGGGCAGATGAAGGTGTCTGGTTGTGCTGCTACAGATGCAACAGGTGTTTCTTTTCTCTGCACACCTCCCAGTGGTCATTCCTCCTCTGGTCACTACTATGGATGCATGACCTGACTCTGTATCCAGGCACTGCAATAATCTGCAAGGGATTCACACATGGCGGGGGTTGATGATGCAATGTGAAAGTTTTGTACAGATCTTCCAAAAAATCTGATACAAAAAAGGGAAACTCAATTTCCTTGAAAACAGGAGATAAATTTTCTGGGAAATGTCACATCTTTGCTTGGAAACACTGTAGAACTTAACTAAGCATTCCCCTTAAAAGTTAGGTCCAGATTAACAGAGCTATTGTTTCGCAAGTGATTTGCTTACAGCACACATGAGGTGGAGCACTAATCCAATTTCAGTGCCAATAGGCTTACCTAATGATGCTGAAACAAAACTCCGCCTCCCCATTTGTTCAAGGGTTAGATTCGTTTTTCTCTGTTATTACTATGAGACCACCAAAACAATAAAATATCTCCAACCAGTAATCTAAATGCAAACTTTTAATTATATTTTTAATTACAAACTCCAATTAAAATGTTCTTTGTTACCTTGAGTTGGCAAACAAACAGACAAATGAAGTCATATTACTGTGGATCCGATATTACCGAACTTGGCATTGTGATATGAGCAAATGTTAGCAGCCTGTGGCAAATACTACAGAATACAGTAAAATTGAGGAACATTCAGTCTTCTTCTTCCTTTGTTTGTTTCTTTGTTTATTACATTTATAGACCACCTTTTCCTCAAAGGAACTCAGGTTGCTGTACATGGCTGTCTCGTCCCCATTTTATCCTCACAACAACCTTATGATGTGAGTCAGGCTGAGAGATAGTGGCTGGATCTAGACAGGTCAAAGAAGCAATTCAGTTAAACGCATTGTAAACTCATACAGGGAAAGACACTACGGGAAGATGGTACTCCACAGCATCATCTGGTGTCATACCGCATGTACAACGCATTCAAAACACTTTGTCTTTACCAAATCTAGCTGAGTCCCAAGAACTGGCCCAATCTCACCCAGTAACTATCCTTCAGATATTCCTTTATCAAATTGTGTGGATTTCATGTCAATCACAAGACTGATAAATTCACAGTTAAGTTCTCTTCGGGGCATTATAATCACTCACTTTAGAAGCACTGTGTGGGGGAGAACAGAAATGAGTGTATTCAACTTCAGTGCCCATTACCATCCTGCCTTCTACGAGATGCAGGATGAACTTCTGAAATGGAAGCCTTTTCATCCCCTGAAGTATCTCCACACAATTTAGAACCCTGTTCAAATATATACTATTACATTCAACACTTATATTTTCAGCCTTGGGGGCTAGAATTGTCTTGTTCTAGGTGACTTCTCCAACATGTAAAAGTGGACAACACTACTACAAATGCCAAATCATCAAAATGGAATTGCCATTTTGAAGTTAAAGCATTTTTATAGTAAAAACTCATTATGTAGGAAGCTGTTTTTATGATTGCCTTATTTTTGCATATCTGGGGTTGTTAAGCCTATCGTTTGCTATTTTATTATGCAATTAATCCACAAAAGAACTGTTCACGTTCCAAACTATGGCTGACATTTACTAAAAACTGTGAAAGAGACACACATTGCATGCACCAACATGCAGCCAAGCAGAGAAAAACCCCAACTAAATGGTTTGAGCATAAGTGAAGATTTGTAAAAACTACAGCAAGAATTGAAGCATGCTCCTAAGGTAAGGGTAAGTCACACTGTAAAGAAAGGTCTCTCTCTCCCTCTCATACGCCACCATATAAAAAATCTCCCCCAATGATGGTATACATAGAAGAGTCTCCTCAGAAAATCCTAGGGCTTATGTAGGATGATTCTCCTTCAGGTACTCAGGTCCAAAGCTATTTAAAGGCTTTTATGGGTGAACATAAACATTTTAAAATTTGACTCCAAAACAAACACACAGCCAATGTCATGCTTTCAGAATCAATCTGGTTGTACCTGTTAAAATTCTGGCAGCTATATTCTGCTCTGCACTAATTGAAGCTTCTGGATCATCTTCAAGGGCAGCCCATCTCCAATGTATTACAATAATAGGAGCATGTTATTACTAAAGGTTGCATTCACCATGACAAGGCCACTCTTGTCTAGAAATGGTCATAAGTGGCAAATCAGAAAAAGGTACTCAAAACCACTGAATCTACTTAATCCTCAAGCAACAAAGCTGGATTTGGGAGTATCCCTATACACCTGTTCCTTCAAGAGAAGTGCAACTCCATCTAGAACAGTCTGTTTGCCTAACTCCTGGTCATGGGAACTAACCAGCCACAATGCCTCCATCTTGTCAGGTTTCAGTTTTTGGTTTACTGGCCCCTATCTAGCTCTTTACTGCATCCAAGCATTGGTCTAGCACAGTGGTTCTCAACTTTGGGTACCCAGATGTTTTTGGCCTACAACTCCCATGATCCCTAGCTCACAGGACCAGTGGTCAGGGATGATGGGAGTTGTAGGCCAAAAACATCTGGGGACCCAAGGTTGAGAAAGGCTGACTAGCACATGAATATCCTCACCCGGCTCTGACGACACACTGCTGTGTGTTATCAGCATATTGCTGGCACTTCACTCCCACCCACTCTGATAACCTCACCCAGCAGCTTCATATAGTAGTGGAAACAAGATAGAGCATTGAATGACTACAAGTGCCATGGAACTGAGCAACCATCACAAACTCAGTGCCACTTTCTGGAACTACACAATAATAGCTTGCATCATGGAGTTGGAAGGGACCACGAGGATCATCTAATTCAAACCCGTTGTAATGCAGGAATCTTTCACCCAATGTGGGGCTCGAACCCACAATCCTGAGATTAAGAGTCTCATGCTCTATTGGCTGAGCATAGCTGTGCCACTTTATTACGAAAGCCCTGAGTCCTAAGCCCACCAAGTCAGTCCAGAAGAATACCATGTTGACGGTACCAGAATCCACTTAAACTAAGAGAATTAACAAAGTTGCATTCCCCATGTATCTCTCCTGACAGAAGTCATAAGAGGTTGACCAGGTCATGGTGACCAGGGCCATTTTGGTGCCAAAATTGGGCTGAATAATCCATTTCCTTCAACTGTGCCTGCAGTTGAGCTGCACAGTTAAGCAAATTGCTTAATATTTGTTGCTCATCATAATCTGCGAGTCAGCTAAACACCAGTTTTAATTCTTTGGGAAATGCTGGAAATATCTGGTGGTAACTATTAAATATTCAGATGGTCTCTTTGGTTTAATTCAAATGTGATGCTTTCTTTAACTTCCTAAAGAGAGCTTACAAGAACAAGTTCTCATTATCTGCCTGAAGTAACCCTAACTATTCAGATACTACTGTGCCTGAATAATAACATGTTTACCACACTGTTCAAAACCAAAGGATTCCAAGAATTATATGCATATTAGAGCTTTAAAAGCAACAGGAAACATAAATACACATACATTATTAAAGAACCAGAGTAGCAACACAGCAGCACAATAAGAAAAAGAAAAAGCAGTCCATGTGTATCTAAATACAGTTGAAGCAATGTAAACTTTCCCAAATTAAGAGATTACTGAAGTCTGAATTTTACAAAAACAATTGAGAGAGACCCCATTAAAACCTACCAACCAAGTCACTCCAAAATAAATTCTTCTGTCTAAATTTAGACAGAAGTCTGCCCCACCTCCCATGCTGGAAGTCTGTGATACACCTAGAAAAAATTTATAGACCAGCAAAACTGGCAAACACAATAGTATTCAACAGTAGTAATACAGAATATTAAACTGATGAAGCTTTTTATGCACAATATGTCACTGCTACACGTCTGGCTATTATCATTCACTTTTGGTACATAATTTCAATTTAAAGCACAGCAACCAACATAATAGCCGGAGAAAGAGATCTCTAAAGAGAGCTCAGATAACAGTCTGAAAGTTCAGTACTTTGTCAAAGTTCCATCTCTGACACTTTGCACCTCTGGAGCAGTTGAGTTCCCTGAGTGAGGCCAGGCCACATAGGAACTCCACAAATTTGAGTCTGAACTCTATGGCAGAAGGGAAACAATGTTAACAAACAGGTTGACTGAAACACACCAGACTGACTTAATGTTCCCCTTCCTTATTCTGAGCCTTAGATACATATACCAATAGATAAGCAACAGAAATGTAACAATGGCATTTCCATGTTAATGCTAAAACATGAGTCAATGCTATGTTCACAAGCTGGAACAAGCCCAGGTGAAGTTTAAGGCTCTCACACATCCGACTTCCATATCCTCCTCCCGCAAACAGATTTCAGGTGGGCCCTGAAAACACACATATCAGATGTCTTTTTTTTTTTTTTAAAGCAATTTATTGGGTTTTACAATAAGAATAAACATAATAAACAATATAACATTTGTCTTAACATAGTTTCACATTTTCTTTGGACTTCCTCACATCTCCCGCTCCCACTTTCATCGTTATAACATTTTGTCAGCAATTTATCATCTTATTTGAATTCTTATATCCCTTCAATATTTCATAGTCTTATAATTCTCAAAAAGAGTTAAACTTTCACAGTCTTACTTGTTTTCTTAAAAACTTCTAAGTTAAGTGGTGCTCAGTTATTTTAATCTAGCATCTTATTTAGCATTCACTCAAATCACAATATTTTTGTAGATAGTTCTTAAATTTCTTCCAATCCTCCTCCATCCTCTCTTCTCCCAGGTCACGAATTCTGCCGGTCATTTCAGCCAGTTCCATGTAGTCTATCAGTTGCATCTGCCATTCTTCCAGTGTGGGTAGATCTTGAGTTTTCCAATGTTTTGCGAGAAGTATCCTTGCTGCTGTTGTTGCATACATAAAAAATGTCTGGTCCTTCTTTGCCACCCCTTGGCCGACAATACCCAAAAGGAAAGCCTCTGGTTTCTTAGTGAAGGTATATTTAAATACCTTTTTCAATTCATTATAAATCATTTCCCAGAACGCCTTCACTTTAGGGCAAGTCCACCAGAGGTGGAAGAACGTTCCCTCACACTCTTTACATTTCCAACACTTATTATCAGACAGGTGGTAAATTTTTGCAAGTTTGACTGGGGTCATATACCATCTATAAATCATTTTCATTACATTTTCTTTCAAAGCGTTACATGCAGTGAATTTCAATCCATTACTCCACAACCTTACCCAGTCCTCAAACATAATATTATACCCAATGTCCTGTGCCCACCTTATCATAGCCGATTTAACCGTTTCATCTTGTGTATTCCATTCCAACAGCAAGTTATACATCCTTGAAAGTACCTTAATCTTTGGTTCTAACAATTCTGTTTCTAGTTTCGATTTCTCCACCTGGAACCCTAATTTCTTATCATTTTTAAAAACTTCTTTAATCTGAGCGTAGTGTAACCAATCTCGCACTTTGTCTTTCATTTTCTCCAAACTCTGCAATTTCCAATTGTCTCCATCCTTTTCTAGTATTTCCCAATATTTTGGCCATCTAGCCTCCATATTGGGTCTTTTTCGTGCCTTAGCTTCCAGAGGTGAAAGCCACCTTGGTGTTTTGTTTTCCAGCAAGTCTTTATATTTTATCCAGACATTAAACAATGATTTTCTGACAATATGGTTCTTAAAGGCCTTATTTGCTTTAACCTTGTCATACCATAAATATGCATGCCATCCAAAGGCATTGTTAAACCCTTCCAGATCCAACACATCAGTGTCCTCAAGAAGTAGCCAGTCTTTTAGCCAGCAGAACGCTGCGGCTTCATAATACAACTTTAAGTCTGGCAGGGCAAAGCCCCCTCTTTGTTTTGCATCAGTTAATATCTTAAACTTAATTCTGGGCTTTTTGCCCTGCCAGACAAACTTAGAAATGTCTCTCTGCCACTTCTGAAAGCACTCCGTTCTGTCCAAAACCTGAAGTGTTTGAAATAAAAACAACATCCTTGGCAATACATTCATCTTAATAGCAGCAATTCGGCCTAACAAAGAAAGTTTCAGTTTTGACCAACTATCTAAGTCTCTCTTAATTTCTGACCAGCATTTTTCATAGTTATCCTTAAATAGACTTAGATTTTTTACTGTTATGTTTACCCCTAGGTATTTTACTTTTTAACCTCATTAAGTTCCGTCTCATTCTGAAACCGTTCTGACTCTGTATCTGTCAAATTTTTCCCCAAAACCTTAGTTTTCTGTTTATTTAATTTAAATCCAGCCACCCGACCAAAGTCATTTATCAGTTGTAATACTCTTTTCGTACTGGGCTCTGGCTTCTGCAGGGTCAAAACCAGGTCATCTGCAAAAGCTTTTAATTTATATTGTTTCTGACCGACCTGAATTCCTTCCACCAACCGATCCCCTCTAATCATGTTCAATAGCACTTCCAGAACCGAGATAAATAACAAAGGGAAATAGGGCAACCTTGTCGTGTCCCTTTTTCAATTTTGAACTCTTCTGAAACCACATTATTAACTATCAATTTAGCTTTCTGTTCTGAATATATCGCCTCAATCCCATTCTCAAAACCCCGTCCCACTCCCATCTCTTTTAAATTTCCCTTCATGAATTTCCAGGAGATATTGTCAAAGGCCTTCTCCGCATCTATAAAAATTAAAACTGCTTTTGTATTTATATCTGTTTGCAAAAGTTCCAAAATGTCAATGATGTTCCTTGTATTAGCAAACAGATGTCTACCTGGGAGAAAGCCGGCCTGGTCCTTATGAATTACTTCATTTAAAACTTATTAAATCTACTTGCCAAAATGTCTGCAAATATTTTGTAATCCACATTTAAAAGGGAGATGGGACGGTAGTTCTTAAGTTGTGTCTTTTCAGCTTCCGACTTTGGTATTAATGTGATGAACGCTTCCTTCCACGACTCCGGTGCCCTCTTCCCCTCCATAATTTCATTGCTGACCTCCATCAAAGGTTGTATCAAATAGTCTTTTAATGTCTTATAGTACTTGGAGGTCAGCCCATCTGGCCCTGGAGATTTGCCGAGTTGCATGTTCTGGATGGCTTGTTCAATCTCCTGTCGTGTTATTTTAGAATTCAGGATTGTCCTATTTTCTTGTGACAGTTTAGATAGTCCATTTTTTGCCAAAAATTGTTTAATCTCAACTTCGTCTTGCGGCCCTTGAGTGTATAGTTTTTTAAAATATCTCTGGAAACACTTTCTAATATCCACTGGATTCTGAATGTTTTTTCCATCGACTTCTAAATTTGTAACCGTATTTAATCTTTGTCTTCTCTTCAACTGCCAAGCTAGCAATTTTCCACATTTATTCGCCGACTCAAACGTTTTTGTTTCATTAATTTAACCTTCCATTCAATTTCCTGATTTATCAATTTAGAATATTGTGTCTGATAAAGTTTAATTTCTCTCAGAGTTGGCTGTGACTTCGGGTTCACTCTTAATTTCTTCTCTAATTCTTTTATTTTATCCAAGATCTTATCTTTTTTCTCATTTTGCGTTCTTTTCTTTACTGCATTCTGTTGTATCAAGAATCCCCTCATTACAGCTTTGCTTGCATCCCAGACGATTCTTTTTTTCCACCGTAGTATTCATATTTATCTCAAAATAGTCCTTCAAAGCTTTTTGGGCCTTCTTGGTAATTTCCTGATCTCTGAACAAATTGTCATTCATCTTCCATCTAAAGGATCCAGTTGGTAGTAGTGTCATATCCATCTTTACTGCATTATGGTCGGAACAGGTCTTTGGGCAGATTTCCACTTTTCTGACCTTAGGTGCCAGGCCTCTAGAAATCCATATTTGGTCGATTCTTGTCCAGGTCAGTTGGGCTTCAGAAAAAATGTTCCCTCTCTTCCTAGTGGGTTCTTTGTCCTCCAAATGTCAATCAGGTCCATATTGTCAGTCATTTCAAAAAAGGTTTTAGGTAGTCTGCCG